TACATAGGCTGAAAATAATCAAGTTTTGTTAATATGTAAGATTAGGAGGAGTAAACAAGTCTGTGAAAGATGCTATATTTTTCTTCATTTTTGTTGTTATTTTCCAGAATTTGGGATTATAGGAAGTAAAAATTTACAGTTGATTTCATTTCCTAATCAACTGAAATAAGTATTTGAATAACATCCCCTTTATATGCAATTTAGTCTAAACAAATGGGATATTGAGGTGTGTTATAGTGTGCTATTTTGATTTTTAGTTTATAGGTTGGGGATTAAGGGAGATGATGTGCGAAGAGTAGGGTCTTGGAACATAGGGATATTGATGAGGAAGTCCATAGACCTCTTGAAGATTCTCAAAAAGTCGAGGGTAACTTGTTTGTGATTTAATACTTTCAAATCTCACCTCCAACCCCTCACAGTCTTGTGAGCTTTTATAATATTACTGACTAGGTGTGTCGCTTTTTCTTATTGTTGTATGTTCCCCTTTATCCATGCCTAATTTGTATACAATTGACGACTACTTTGTTTTCTTCGAGTTTTCTGGAGTAGAATTAATTACTTTATTTGAATCAATTCTTATTTGAGTTCTTTTTTCTTATGAACTTATTTGGTCTATGGCCCAGCCCAACTTGGCTTTGCCTCCGGCCCACTGTGTTTCCAGTAGTTTTTTTCATACTTCAAGGATCTGGTGGGCAGAGAAGTGACTGTGGAATTGAAGAATGATTTGGCTATTTGGGGAACACTACATTCAATTGATCAATATCTCAACATTAAACTTGAAAACACGAAGATTGTTGATCAGGACAAGTACCCGCACATGGTAATTCCTCTTTATTCTTTCTCTTGTATCTTTGTCCTCCTTATTTTCTGTTGTTGATTTAATCTGAGAAAATATCATTTATTGCCATAATTTAGTTTGGAGATGCATTACATCTTGCTTCTCTTTCACCTTCTCTATTTGTGCTTGTAGATCTGTTGAAAGTCTCTTTTCGGCCATCTCCTTCTCAATTCAACAACTCTTGAATTAGTTCTTTATGCTTTTGATATGCAATAAAACAAGTGGATGTTTTCTCTTCTATAGTCAGGAGTTTTGAAACTGATAGTTTTGTTAGAAACTACTAATTTTGATTGGATATGTGAATCAAGGAGGTCAATTTGATGTGTACGATTCTGGTAACTACTGTTCACTGTCATATGGGATCCGTAGTCTATAAGGGGATGATGTTTTTCTATCAAAGCGGCTATGATTAGCTGCCTGCTTTCTCCTAGAAATGTTTAAGCTTAGTGTCCGCTCATAGTTTCAAATTGTCATGCTTCATCTCCAATTACCTTTCTTTGCTTACCATATGTTTAGTTGATGGCTTTATGAAGAACTACTTTTATCTAAGAAGAATGAGTTTATGTTGGCTACTCTATAGCACTATGGAAATCGTTACTATTTGAATTTTTTTATGCTAAAGGAAGTGGACTTTGTTGTTCGTAATAGTGCCTACTCATTTGGAGAATCGTTACATATAGTGCAAGTCAGCTACACTCTTTAGATGGCGAAAAATATACTGTTGCGGTATGTTATCATTTCATATTTGACTATTATTTTACTATTCCACAAACTTTGAGCTATTTCATATATTATAGACGTCCTTCTGGTGTAATCTGTATATTTCATGCATCTAATGAGACGAGCACATCTTCACGTATTACACTTTAGAACTGTAGTAGGCAATGCCTTCTAGATATGATAGTAGTATTTCGTATCAATGTTCAATTAGACAGATATAGAGAATAGACATCCTTAGACCCATTTCGAGGAAGTGAAATCCATAAAACAGAACGCTTTAAAATCAAAACTATAACATGTACAAGACATGACAAATATAATTTACACCTAAATATAAGAAATAAAATGTCTTCTACCAATATCATGCTTGGATGGTGAGGTTGCTATAATACACCTATAGTAGCCATGGAACTACTAACTAGAAACAACAACAGGAAATTACAGAGCCACTAGAGTTGGAAAGAGAGAATAATTTGAACAATTATTTTTGGTGTTGTTTTATTTTGGATATGCAAAATGCAATACGCAACAGTTCTGTCATATTTTTTTGGTGTTTCGTTGTTTTTATATATGAAATATCTATATCTTAATAAAAGCATTCTATAGTGAAAATTGAAGTACTTCTTAAGACATACGTCAGTAATAATGCATCTGTAACTTGAGATTGTAAGTTCGGTCGTCTACATGCTCCTAAGTTTGTAAGCAGATGCAAACATTTTCTGCATCTTGAAAATATATTGGGCCCGTGCTTGCGCATCTAGTTAATATGTATATATATATATATATGAAAACAGGTTAGCACAATTCTTGAAATATAATAATCAGAACATCGACATTATATTATGTATATATATATGGGCCGGCAAAATTGAACTATATACAATCCCTTTTCAAACTAATGAATGTTCCAACCAATCATCAGGAATATCGACAACGATATCCTCAAACATTCTATACATATCTTCCGCACTTCTAATATCATCAACTCTATCAGGAAAATCAACGTCAAGGATGTCCTCCAACATTCTAAACATATCTTCCTCACTTATAATATTATCAACTCTGTCGCCTTCTTCTACTTCCAACGTTGTCTCTCTATTCTCCATTATACTACTATTTTGAACATCGTATTCCGAAGTTGTAGCCTCACAAACCGTAACTTGATCTTATTCGGTGTGGAGTAGCCGTTATTATGATTAGGTTCAAGCAACAACATAGGATCAATAATCCCCACGGCATCTCCATCTTCTGCATCCATAACATGATGATATACGTTCTTCTTCTTGATTCGACACACTACAAAATCTTCTTTAACAATATGATTGTTTTTCTTAAAGAAATTATCCGCAACACGATATTCTATCATCAATCAGGTTTTATTTTGGCCACACACACTCGTTTCAAACCTGAAGTTTCTCTTAAATCCTACCACAGGACCCATTCCGTTCCTCCTTATAAGATCTTCTGCGGTTTGCCCTTTCCACGTCCCTTTAGCACAGGTTCGACAAAACCTTTTATCTTTCATCTTCCGCTTCCTCAAAGGAGTAATAAAGTAACGGAATTTCTCTTTACATGAATTAGCTTCAAATATCTCCCATGGTGGTTGATCTCCATATATATCCGCAAATTGAATAGGACTTTGTTTATTCAAACATAATTCGCCTTTGAAAAACCTCTTAAGATAGTTGATTAGCTCTGTATCAGTAGGATGAAAACGTATTCCCATTTGCTTCGACATTAGTTCTTGATTATGTGAATAATGAAGTCTAAACAAAGATAGTTATCTATTTATACACATCTTAATTATTATCCTAACGGTAGTTAATTTATTTCCTAAATTAACAAACTAATGTTGCTTAATTACTACTTTTCATGTTACTTTATTTCCTTAAATAATTCGGTATTAAATTTCTGCCCCAGTCTAATATTAAAATTTCCTAAAAGAAGAATATAATTTACTTACAAAGAACGGATGGAGTGAAAATTGAGTCTTCTTTTGGGGGTATTTTTGGTTGAACCAACATATAGTGGCAATTTGACCTTTTTCTATTTTGATGAGGATAGTATATTTGTTGATAAATTATAATTTTATACTGTTTTTAGGGAAAAAGCTTACTTAAATATTTATATATATTTTTCTTATTATGTTAAATTTACTGTTGTCACTTGTCATGCGTTAATGCCTTTATCGTTATTGTTTTTTTTTTTTTATACAAATGTTTTCATGTTACAGTTGCTTCCTCTTACAATTTTCTTATATGTATTGTTCATTCACTCGAACATTACTAGTTTTCTCGAACATTACTAGTTTTGTTATTTTATTTTGTCATTCTATTTATTATTATATGTTCGAAGAGACATTTTTCATATAAAATTTATTATATTTGTTATCCATTTTTCATAAGTTATTCATGGCTTGTAGTTTGTAGCTTGTTAATATTGTTTGGCTGATTTCTATTCCTTTTCTCTCCATGTTGATTTGTGAACTGTTTGCCGCATTGTTAGGTTTTTTTGGGTCATTTTTGGTTTTAATTAGTTTTATCAATTTGATATTAAGCTAGATATAAATATGGCCAATGAGAGAATTTCTTCGTCGGTTTGGAGGCCTCTATATTGTAAAATACGGAAATTTAGCTTAAGTTTATATATTCGTATATGTTAAAATTGATCAATGAAAATGTTGTGCGGAATTTGAGATAATACGAGAAAATATAAACGCGAAAAACAAGACAACAGATTTACGTGGTTCACCAATAAATTGGCTACGTCCCCGGGAAGAGAGGGAGCAGTTTTATTATGGAGAGGCAAAAACAGAATTACAGAATAGGGTTTGCCATAGCGTCTATATATAGTGCTAAACTACGCCCTAACAGGCTTGGGCCCAACATACAGAATTGACAGAAAATTAAGGGCCCAATACAACAACATTGTATACCGTCGGGCCGGAGGCGTCTCCGCCCCCCCGGACCCCCAGGCCAGGGGGCGCGTCGCCCCCCTGGACCCCCCGACTCGCTGACCGGGCAGCGAGACCCCCGTCCTTTCTGTTTGTAGCGGGTCCGATTCAAGGCATTCAACAGAAAAAAATCTCTCCGTCGATTTAGGAGGCCTCCACATTGTAAAAGACGAAAATTTAGTTTAAGTTTATACATTTATGTTAAAATTGACCAATGAAGAAATTACCGTCGATTTGCAAGGTCTTCCATGTTAATAAGGCTGTTTTTATTTTTAATTATTTATTTTATTTCGTTTTGTTCATATTTATTTATTACTAATACTTTATTTAGTGTGTTTACAGATTATCTTGGACTCTTTTCCCATTGAAGTTATTTCAATTGAATTCGAATTATAATGTTTTATTTATTATTGTGTATAAATAATAAAGAAATCAGTAATAGATTTTTTATATTAGATAGACATCTTTTATTTTATACCATAATTAAGAAATCATTAATAGGTTTATTAATTTTACCTTTTTTCCTTTGTTCATATTAGTTAGTCTACTAGAAAAGAATTGGATCTTCAAAGTGTGTTTAAACTTCAAGAGATCATATTAATTGTAGGGGTAAAATAGAAAAAGTTAATTAATTAATCTTAATATAGTAAGTGATTAAGTAATATACGATAAATATATTTAGTAAAATGTTCATCTAACATGAGACGGAGCAAGTATTGCATATATAGTATAGAAACTATAAGTCTAAAAAGTACAAACAAGTGATTATTGGTTGGTATTGTAATTGTTCAAATCTATCAACTACTAGTGAAATTATCGCGCGGCTATATGAATTATTTATTTGTAATGTTTATATTTAGGTCAGTATTAAATATATAAAAAAGATATCAATATATTTCTTCATTTGCATTATCATTTTCATTTTTTAAACATATAAAATAGGTATATTTCTTTTGCATTTTTTTTAGTGCAAACTATTCATATGTATATAGTTGAACAAAGTATTCATCATGGTGGACTAAATAGAATAAAAGGTAATATGTTGAAATTAACAATATATGTATTACATTGAAAATATTTTATATATTTTAATTTCTTCTTTCTTTTGTTGGAGTATTAATTTTATATACAAACTCTTAGGGAAAAAATAAAATCTTTTATTATGTCTTTATTATTATAACAATTTTTTAAACATTAATTAATATTTATAAGAATTATGAAAAATGAAATTTACAAAAGTTATGAAATAATATTTAATATTAATAAATTTGTCCACATTTTGCGCGATGTAAGTTGCATTTTTTTAAATTTGTTACAATTTTGTTACAAAGAAAGCTCAAAATATTATATAAGAAGAAGAAGACAAGATGTATAAGATAGAGGAGAGTACTTTTCTTATTCAATTATATGTAAGTCTCATATGTGTACATTACAATAGTGAATGAACAACCCTATTTATAAAGTGAGAAATCACTCCAAAAGTCACCATATTAAGTATCATAATAAATAGATACATACTTATCCAAAAAGGTTCATGAAACCTAGTGAATATGAATAATTGTTCATGTACTAACTTTATGGACTATCCACCTATTCGGTCATGTCAAAGCACAAAAGTCTTTAATTCAGTAAACTTCTGATTTACGATAGAGTGTGCTTCAATCGTACTTATTTTTGCATAATACAGGTCAGAAGATAAAGTTGATATTTTCTCTAACACATATTTCTGGTCTGAGACAATCTTGATAATACCAAGGTAATTCAACATTCATTTCATTTATCGTCTCATCATGATATCAATTTCGGTGAATATCTTTAAAACTTAACAGGTTTCTTGGGGATTTAGAAGAGAACAAAGCATCTTCTATGAGAAGTTTTGTCCCCTTAGGCAGAAATATAGTAGCTCTTCTGGAGCCTTCTATTAAGTTTGAATTATCAGAAAAATTGTAGTAACATTTGCTTTTGTTCTAAGCAAGTAGGAGAAGTATTTCTCATCTTTGAATATGGTGTGCGTTGTTCCACTGGTAATTATACAAATATCTTCATGATTGATCATTGAGGTATCCATATACTCTTCAACATAAAAGATATAAAAGAAATAAACATTATAATATTATTACTAAACAAAAACATTACACAACCTTTTAGTTATTTACAAGTCTAGAAAAACATATCATACTAGTTCATATAAACTACGAAAATGAAATATATTTAAATTATCACAGATCCCATCACCTATTAGGTGATCTATCTTACCTTCGGGATTCTCAAAGAAATTCGCTACATCTAGATGCATGGGTTTAACAGTATCTTCCGTGATAAAGTTGGATTCTGCGTTATTTTTCACCTCATTCAGGGAAGCTTGATATAGCTCAACCAGGTGCCTTGGCGTACGACAGGTACATGACCAATGTCCTTTTCCTCCACATCGGTAACATTTGTTGTCTGATTTTTTCTTCTGCACTATGTCATATTTTTCATTCTTCTTTTTACACTGCTGATTTTGAAGGTTATTATTTAGTGCAAGACGATCATGTCACGACCCAAATTCGGGCCGCGACTGGCACCCACACTTACCCTCCTATGTGAGCGAACCAACCAATCTAAACCTTAACATTTCAATGTAATAGCAACAGAAAGTAATGCGGAAGACTTAAACTCATTAATAAAAACCAATTCAATAACTATCAATATTCAACATCTATTATTCCCAAAACCTGGAAGTCATCATCACAAGAACATCTACTTTAAACTACTAGTTCTAAGAGTTTCTAAAGCTAAAAATACATAAGAAGCTAGTCCATGCCGGAGGTTCAAGGCATCAAGACATGAAGGAGAAAATCCAGTCCAAGCTAGAAGCGTTAGCTCACCCTGAAGATCCGGTGTGACGAAGACTGGCTTGAGTTATTGTTGAGTCGAAGATGACGGCATGTTTGCTGCACTCCACAAATAACAAGAAGAAAACAATAAAAGTAGGAGTCAGTACAAAGCACGGGTACTGAGTAGATATCATCGGCCAACTCAAAATAGGAAACAGTATATATCAAGTAATATCATAAAAACAACTATGATACTCAATCATGTAGCAACAACAAGCACTATATCACTAGCAATTACCGTCAAGTTCACACATGAGGACTCAAGCCCCAATACCATACTCATTTGGGAATCATGTTCGTTAGATTGAGTATATTAACATCTTTCAAGATTCATTATCTTTATTTCTCTTGTGTCGGTACGTGACACTCCGCTCCCTCATATTCATTATTCCTCTTGTGTCGGTACGTGACACTCCGATCCTCTAAATCTACGTGTCGGTTCGTGATACCCGATCCCCTAAATCTACGTGTCGATTCGTGACACCCGATCCCCTAATTCTACGTGTCGGTTCGTGACACCCGATCCCCTAATTCTACGTGTCGGTTCGTGACACCCGATCCCCTAATTCTACGTGTCGGTTCGTGACACCCGATCCACTAATATCATTCTGTAAATCATCAAGCCTTCTCTATACCAAGGCATCCTCAATCCCATTACTTTAATTCATCAAGCCTTCTTCTATACCAAGGCATCATCATTAATAATGTATATTAAGGTTTCTTTTCAAGATTTGGGATTCAATATTTTCATCATGCTTATCTTATCACAATCACATAATCATATTCATGCAAGCATACAATTAAGCATATAGCAGGGTTTACAATATTATCAATACATATAATTCTCTATTAAGAGTTTACTACGAATATCGTAAGGGAAACCATAACCT